GACTGATTTAGGAACTTCTACAAGCTCAGAACCCTGGAAGGGCTGCAGACTCCCCAGGCTGGCACACACTGATCACAGTCCTGCCTGCTGGCCTAATGATGGATTTAAGATCATCGACTTAATGAGCTTTGGATGAGGTGGGTAACAAAGCACGGTTGGCGTGCAGCACGGGGATATCTGTGGGCTGCCGTCACATCCTAATTGTACCTGCCGGACTCACCAAGACCAACAACCTTAAGAGAATGAGAACTAGAAAGAAACAGTTTCTCCCCACCCCCTCCTACTTTTCAGCTTAATTACCCTCTGCAAGGAGTTTTTTCTGTTTCCTCATACAACCAGGTCCTCTTTTGCTGAAAAAAGACTTTGCATAAAATTAGGGAAACCCCAGTAGTTTCTGCTGGGTGCAGGTTTCTTAAGGTCTGCTGTGTACAATTCAGACTCCATTACAGATTTCATTATTTTTAAGTAATATGTATTTAAATAAAGCATGTCCTACTTTGTAAACACTGTGTCAAGCCAGTTCAACTTTGCTCAGCTGAGTGCACAAGGAGCCCAAGACACAGCTCCCTAACAGAGTTCTGTGGGGCAGGAACACCCCAAATAACCAATCGCCCAACCAAGCCCTCCTTCCTCCTGCTCAAACCTGGCCTCATAAAAACAAAATCTACTAAAACCAACATATTTTTTCATCTCTCCACATCTAAATTTCTCCCAGGTCAGCCTCTTCAGTGTACAGATCCTGTCCTTTTGCATTGCTCAGGCCCTGCAGAACAAGTACAACATATGGTATGTAGGGCAGGATGCAGGCACAGGCAGATTATATCACCTCCCCACGCTTCCGTGTGTGGAAAAGGGGCGGAAGAAAGGCAGGAACTTCATTCAAACATCCTGAAACTCTCAGAGCCATATAAACACTCAGACTTGCTCTAAGCAATGGCTTTTGTGAGAAGAGCAACTTGACTTTAAAGTGTCTACAAGAGAATGGTTAAAATTGTTCGCTGAATCCCGGCCACCTCCGTTCCCCTTGAGCACAAGCAGGTTAGTTCATCTCTTAGGGGCTTTTCTGGCAGCTGAGCAGAACATGAGGGCAAGCCCCTTCTTTTGCATCCCATCTTATACTCATCCCCACCTAGGGCAGTGCTCCAGATGTGAAAAGATAAAGGAAGACAACATGCAGGTTAAACCTTAGCATGGAGGGAAACTGTGTCTCTGCAACAATGCTACTGGCTATTACCTCAAAGAAGGCTTTATAGTAAAGGGCACTCAAATAATTTGGGATTCTTAAACGAACAAACAAACTCTCGCACACAAACTCTTCAAAACACAACCATGCCCATTTGCCAGCCGGAATGGAGAAAAAGTGTAGAGGAGATCAAAGCAGATGGAGAATTAAAATGTTACTAAGAAGAATAAAATAGCCTTTTGATTTCTGGCACACCACCCCGATCAACAGTGTTAAAACACCTCAAAAGCAGATAATTGCCTGAATATACTGTATAGACCAAGTGAACTTCTAGTTATAAACAAGTGGTTTTCACTGGGTTATTTACATTCTCATTTGGGTCAAAGAGGGGATGAAAGGAGCTGAAAGTAGCTGGAGATGAGGAGACGTTATTGCCTGACAGGCTGACATCCTTAGCCTGACAGTGTTATTGTTGGTGTGAGGCTGGAGTTAATAGCTGAGGCATTCAGATATAACAACAGACTTAAAGTAGCTTTATTCTGAAAGTTACCACTTTCAGAAATAGAAAGTATTTAAACAATTTAAAATAGAAAGTATTTAAACAATTATTCTTCCAAGTTTTTGTTTATCTCAGAATCCAATTACCTTATTTTACAATGTTTACCTTGTTCCTGTCATTGCTTGAGAAACCTGAGCAAATATAAGCACTGAATTATCCAGGAGAAGAGTGAATGTTGCTGTATACAAACAGGTTTCAAACACACCACACCAAGGGCTGATTTCTACTGGTGCTACTTTCAGAAGGATAACTATAGTAGAGATTTAAATATGATTTTCAGGAATTGCTTTTTCTTAGAAGACGGGATCCTTTACCAAAGGCTTCCACTCAATGGATAATTAGCACCCAGTTTTTTTAGAGAGTTTCTGTCAAATAATTCGAAAGAAACAAGAAACAAACGCTCTAAATCCCAGGGCACGGCAGTAAACCACCTCTGTCCTGACCTGGCCCCCAGTTCCCTTCCTGGCCTTCTCTTCAGTCACAACTTATTTCCCAATTCTGCAAGGGTAATACCTTCTTAAATGAGACCATCGAACACCAGTTGCCCAACAGCTAATTCCCACCCCCAGTTCCAAACTATGTCTGTAACGCAGGTGTGCCAAGGAGCCTGGATCCTCAGCCTGCTCCTCCAACGCCCCCCTTGCTCAACTACTGAGGAGACGGGGCATTTCAGAGCCGTGGACAGCACGAACACTGGTGCTTTGGAGTGCAAAGTACAGGGAGTCTGGTCTTTGAAACCCACATCCCTAAATATCGAGGTTAAACATTCATAGCACTGGACATGTCAAGGAGCTGGGCTCCTCTTCGCCCTCCAAGTTCCCCGCCGGCGAGGACCGCAGGGACACAAATCATGTCACCCCTGAAGGCTCACGAAACTTGGGACACAGCCCTGGAACTGCCGACTTCCAAGAAACCTCCCTCCATTCATTGTACCGGCGGGCTTGGCACGGAACGCCTGGTCTCCTTACAAAAGCATCGCTCTGAAAACGGGCGATTCAGAGCGGGTGGCTGGGGGCGAGGAGGGGTGGGGAAGGATGAAAAAAAAAAAAGTGCTTCTCTCCCTCCTTCCCCCTGCCCCGAGCGCTGCGCTCCCACACTCCAACTCACTCCGTGTCCCCGTCCCTCTACTCCCGACTAACGGGATGCGCGGAGCCGGCCCCGGGAGCGGCTCCCCCGCAGCACCGCAGCCGGCTCCGGGTGCGTTCAGCGAGCAGAGCCCGCACCGAACCCCGGACTGCGGGGCCGCAGGTGCTTCCCCTCCGCCCGGAGCCCCCGCCGCGCACCCACCTTGTAGACTTTGCCGAAGGCGCCGTCTCCCAGCTCCCCCACCACCTCCCACACCTCGCCGGGGTCCAGGTCCCGGCGGACGTGCTCGTACTCCTTGGAGCGGCGCTTTTCGAAGGCGGAGAGGCGCAGGATGCGGCGGAAATTGGCGAAAGCCATGCCGGAGCGGGGCTGCCGAGGAGCCGCGGGGAGCTGCCGGCAGCCGCCTCCCGCTCCCGGGGGAGGACGGAGCCGCTGCGCGCTCGGGGAGCGGCGAGGCGGGACCGGGGCCGCCCCCAGCCGCGCACATGGAGCCAGGGCCGCTCCACCTGCTGGGCTGGGCCGGTCCCGACAGAGCCATTGGCCGCCCGCGCCCTCCGCCCGCCCGGCACCGCCCCGACGGGGACCGCCCCGACCGGCACGGCTCGGCACGGGTGCGGCTCAACACCGCCCGTCTGGGCACAGCTGAGCTCGGGTACGGCCCGGCATGGAACGGCTCAACTCAGCTCAGCTCGGCTCAGCTCAGCCGGGCCAAGGTCCGCCCCGTCAGCCCGGCCCGGCTCGGCTCGGCTCAGCCCAGTTACAGCCCGGCACCGCCTGGCTTGGCTCAGCCGGGGCAGGTCCGCCTAGGCGGGCATGGCTCAGCTGACGGCTCCACCTGTCCCGTCTCAGCCGGGGAATAGCTCGGCCCGGCCCCGTTCGGCCCGGCCCGGTGCAGCGGGCCATGGCATAGCCCGGCTCGGTTCGGCCGCTCTGCTGAGCGAGGCAGAGGGTCCCCAATCCCCCCTGGCTGCTCACGCCGCTCCATGCAAACACCGGGACAGCCGGGCAGGGAAGGACCGAGCGGTCCTCGTCCCCGTGCCCAGCCCGCAACATCCCCAGGGCTGCTCTGCCTCGTGGGCTGCACCGCGGGGTCCGAGCAGAGGCACGTCCCCGCATGGAAAATCCTAATCCCGAACTGCCTTGGCAACAGAGGCACGTTTCCTGCTCCCCCGGTTCGTCTCCCCGGAAAACAGACAAACACAACTGTTTTTAAAACTCCCAGAAGGGGGAATTTGAGTCTATCCTCACGCCGGGCACCCGCCACGCGCTTGTTTTAGGGAAGATGAGACCCGGTTGGTGTCGAGTGGGAAGTTCACATCCTCTCCATGGCGACACTTCAAATCCTCTGGAAAACTGGCTTGAAATCCAGTATGGAATGGGGACACCTAGGGGAACGCCCCGGCGGTGCAGCCCCGCTTCCTAGCGGCTCTGTGTTTCCCACAGGGATCGGGGGTGGATGGTTGTCCCTGCACACCCCACCGACACCTGCACCGCCCACACACCGGGTGTGTTTTGCCCCTTGTCATCTTTCTTTTTAAAAAATAGGTTCATCCTGGTATGGTCAGCCCTCACGTTTATATTGGGAGTTTCCCAGTACCAATGCCTGAATTTAAAACTCAGTTCCTCCACTATGCTGGTGGTGAGGCCCTGGCATAGGTGGCCCAGAGAAGTGATGGATACCCCATCCCTGGAAATGTTCAAGGCCAGGTTGGGTGGGGCTTTTAGCAACCTGTTCTAGTGAAAGGTGCCCATGGCAGAGGGTTGGAATGAGATGAGCTTTAAGGTTCCTTCCAACCCAAATCCTTCTGGGATTTGATTATGATTCTATTATTCCTGGAAATTTGTGGCTGAGAATTGCAACTTTCTTGAAGCCACTTCCATGTCCACCTATTTCTTCCCTTCTCCCCACTGAGTTGTAGGAAAAGCAAACTGCAAATGCAAAATATATCCCTGAAACAGAAAGAAGCTGAAAAATATTGAGCACTTTTTTCCCACCTAATTTCACAGAGTTTGGATTTGATCTGACAGGACATGCGGATTTAGCAGCACTGGAGTAAGAACAGAATAGAATAGAATCAGAGCAGCTACTTTCAGAATGTTGTGCTGTGAGGGGTAATTTCCATGGCACTAATACTGTTTCACTGGTCTTCCACCAGATCTCAGCCAACTGAGATGAAGCTGGATTTTGGGTGTTTTCTGCAGCACCTGTGTGTAGATGAAGCACTATTTGTTGTCAGTAGGAAACACTGCAGCACTGGCAGAGTATTTCCAGCTCATTGATGTTCATTGAAAAAATCACCTCTACAGTAAATATTCCTGAACACGAGATTGGCATTAATGCTCTAAAATTACAGGCCCTGTGTACTGTTTTGAAAAGCGTTACACAGAAAGCTGCATCACTTGGGATTTAAAACCAGAGATCACAGACATTACAAATATTGCACTTCAGATGTTCCAACAACTGCAGCACCCTGTAATACTAATTAACCAGCAGCGTGGTTAATATAAGGGCTTGGCAATTCCCCAGAAAGCTTTCAGACACAGCACGTATCACCGTGTCCTCCCTGCTCCTGGCTGCTCTGGAAGGTGACACAACCTGGCTACTCCTGCATCATCTTCTGAAATGTGTGAGGCTCAGGAGACTGTGCTGAGCCACCAAGATGCATTTCAGCTCTCATTGAAGATACTTCTTTCCCCTCCCCCCTTCCATTGCCTCTTTCCCTGTTTGTGAGACAGACAAAGGTCCAAGAGCCTACAAACCCTGTTTGATTTTATGGTATTCCTGTGCCCCATGTTGCAGCAGCGTGTGAAGCCCCTGGGTCCAGCTCACCAGTGCTGTACAAACACGATAACCAGGTCCTGGCATAGCGAGCAGAAAATCGATGTAGGAAAAACCCCAGCCACTGATGCAGGAGATCCTTACAGCTGTGCAAGCAAGATGCCAGGAACAAGGAGGGCAAGAGGGGATTTCAGGCTCACTGAAGCTAATTCCTGAGTACTGGAGCAACCTCTCATGTAATCCTTTCCACAACATGACCGTGCTCCATGTTAGAAAGCAGTTGGGTTTCTTGCCAAGAGTGTTCTCCACATGAGGCCGTTTGCAACCCCTCACCCACAGGTTCACCATTTCCCCACCTCATGCCTGCAGTTCTTCAGTCTCTTGTCATGTCTTTGCAAGACCCCATGGTGCTCCAGCTCAAATGATCCCTTTTTCCATGGGTTTCCCTCACTGACAGATATTTAAGGGTAGCAGAATCAGATCAGGCTGCATATTGTTTTTAGCAGCCAGGGGCAGTTTGTCCTCTGTGTTTGCACCTGGGGAAGTTTGACTGAAATTCTGGATCTGGAGGTTTGGCTCTTCCTCTGCACTGCAGAAGATTAAATAGGACTAAAGATAATTGTTACTGGATCATGAATTAAAAGTGACAGCTACAAAAGAAAAATGGGTTCCTTTTTTCAGTGTTTCTGGTTTGTTGGAAAAGTCCTTTTTTCCTTCAGGTGTGGGGTAGAAAAGAAGAAGACAGGAAAAGAAGACAAGAAAAGCAGACAGGAAAAGAAGAGAGGCAGACAACAATAAGCACTTTTCCATTGCCTCTGTGCAGAAATCACATGACTCTCTCATAAATCAGCCCATCTTATTAATACTGTTCTATGAATTCTGAGCACTATCTAGTGTCTGTTCCTGTGTGTTAATTGCCTGTGCAACCTGTCAGGGAGCAGTGGGCATTTAAAATAAAATAAATCCTGCTAATTATTGCTCTCAGCTTTGTGCAGGCGATGCCTGAGAGCTCACTGCTCTCCTGATCTTCAGTTTTATTGCTTTCTCCGTGACATGACTGACCTGAATAAGGATCAGATCATGCTGCTGTTCAACTCACTGGACTGAAACGTGAGGGGGAGGATTTATATTAATGAGTTCTATGTGGTGCTGTGCATCCTCCTGTCCCACTAACTGCACACCCTGCAGGTCCTGGAGTTGGTACAGGGACACCTGCACCCTCCAACACCCCATAATGGGAATTGGCTCATTGGAGCTGATCTTACTTACTGTGTGAAAGGATTGGAGAAGGTCCCTGGGTCTGGATGCGTCTGCAATGCTGCTGCACTGAAGAGGAAAGCAGGAAAAAGAGCAGTTGCCCTGTTAGTACCAACCTTGCTCCTCTGGGATAAATTGAACTTTGGACCTGTTGCCAGGTAGGAACCATCTTAACACTCCTCCCAGCTCATGCTGTCCCTCTTAGCAAGGAGTTCAAAAACAAAGCCCTCAGGTGTGGGGAAGCCCTATCTGAGGGGAAGAGAGCTGAACATCTGTTTTCACCCATTGTTTTTTGCTGACTGGTTGGTGCAGTGCCAGTGCCCTTCTTCAGCCTGCCCGGCATCACCTACAGCCCTGTCTGGGGAGGGGCTGTGCCTTCTCAGGGAAAGGCAGTGAGGATGCCAGGCTGCAGTGTGGGAGAGGGGTGGTAGAGCCAGGATTACCCCTGGAGCTCAGCCTTGCTGTTGGACATGACCTGCAGCTCTGCTCTGGATCAGAAGCCTGGCCAAGGGCCAACACTCAGGGCTGCTGCCCAGGGGACTCAGGGAGGAAGGAGAGAAGCCAACCACAGGGCATGTGGGAGGGATGGGAAAGGACCTCTTAAAGGAGGACACCTACCTGTTGGAGCAAGTCCAGAGGAGGCCACCAAGATGACTAGAGGGATGGAGAACCTCTCCTGCAAGAAAAGTCAGAGAAGTGGGATTGTTCAGCCTGGAGAAGTTTCAGGGTGACCTAACTGTGGCCTTCCAGTACCTGAAAGGAGCCCAGAAGAAAGATGGAGACTATTTACAAAGGCCTGGAGTGACAGGACAAGAGGGAATGGCTTCAAACTGACAGAGAGTAGGTTTAGATTACATATTAGGAAGAAATTCCTTACTGTGAGGGTGGTAAGGCCCTGGCACAGGTTGCCCAGAGAAGCTGTGGCTGCCCCATCCCTGGAAGTGTTCAAGGCCAGGTTGGACAGGGCTTGGAGCAACCTGGGCTAGTGGAAGGTGTCCCTGTCCATGGCAGGGGGTGGAACTGGATGCTCTTTAAGATCCCTTCCAACCTAGGCCATTCTGTGATTCTGTGACTCTATGAAAGCAGCTTTGCAGCACGGCTGGCTGTTGGTAGTTCCCCCTGAACCCAGCCAGCAGCAGCTGGGAGGCTCCATGGCAGGAAGCACCAGGATTTTGGTATTTCCTGAGGGTGTGACAAGCAGGAGGTCACCTTTATTCTCTGGATGCAAGCACTGGTTGGTATTCCACGTATTCTTTCCAAGCAGGAAGTCAGTGCTTATCACATGTTTCTAAATCTTTCTGCCCTGAAACAGAACCATCTCAAAAAGCAGTTCATCCATCAGCACATGGGACCTGCCTTTCAACTGCTGGACATTGGCGTGGACAGTATGATTAATTTTGATTGGTTTTAATGAGTTTGGAGCTACAAGGTTTCTCTTCAACCCCATGAAAGAAGAACATAGGAAGGTATTTAAGTGCTTCGATATTTCTGGAGTTGAGGTCAAATTAGAGAAATTAAAGTCAGAAGTGAGGCCATGAAAATGTCCCTAAATTCAAAATTAATCCTTAGAATTAATTTGGTACTGCAGCTCACAGGTGATTCTCTCTTAAACCTGAGGTTTTTTCTCATTCACTCCAGGGGCAAGTCTTTGATGACTTACTGAACTGTCTAAATTAAAAATATTTTAACAGTAAGATATCAGCATGAAGAAATAATTTTTGGGGTTAAACTGGGCATATTCCTCTGTCTGAGACTGTAATGGGAGGAGTTGGGCAGGACTGGGAGAAGGGCCTTTATCTAAGCCATTTTCTTCTGAGTTCATTTGTGGCTTCTCATTATTTTCCAAGCTCTTTGCAGTCCATTCTCAGGGCTATGGCTGGGGAGGTGCCTTGGTGTGGTACACTTGGACTTGAAAGTCCTTCGAGGAACATTCCTAGAGCCATACCTTTGCTCTGTGCCAGATATGAGAAGCTTGCTCTCTTCTGTGATGGATCTTCATTTTGACCTTAAACCAGCTGCAGGTTCCCAGGAGAGTCTGTGTGGATTTCACCCATTCCCTGCAACCAGAAAGGGAGCAAAGCTGGTCACAACACCTCCCCTCCTTACAGAGGTGCAGGCACACACCCCTTACCAATTTGCTGCTGCCACCAGCTCACCTTTGTCCCTGTCTGGTCACTGCTGCTCACTCAAATACCCCCTGCTCTCTGATTAATGATCTCTAGTAGTTACACAGTTAATCAGTCATTAACAGGCTGTAGACATCTCTGTCACAACTCCACACCATCCTCATGACTTCCAGCATCTCAGCATGCTCTGGGAGCTCATCTACCAAGACAGCCATTAGGAACCAAGGGAGATCACTTCACTTGCTCCTCCTTTCCGCTGCCAGCTTCCTGGGTTATTGTCTTTATGGATAATTCTCCTCCTCTGTGTTCCACCACCAGTATCCTCTGTAACTATTTGTTACAGGCAGTTTTTGTACCTCTCAGCCCTGCAGGGCTTGCAGCCTATTCCCTTTGTGGTTTAGCGGTGCAGCGAGGTATCAAAGCCTCCATCCTGTGGATAGCTCTCAAATGCCCTCACAATATTTTCCTGGAATGAGCTGTTCTAGCCCCAAGTTGCACTGATCCTGTGCTTTCATCTCCAGGCTGCCTGGTTAAAAGCCACTTTAAGCAGGAGCAGTGTGGCTGTGACCCTGCCATGAAGGCACCTCCCCGCTCCCCCAGCCACAGGGTACCTCCAGATGTTGTAAATCACTCCAACATCTGCAAGTCATTACAAAAGGCAGAGCAGCAGCCATGTGCCAGGGAGGTGCCCTATTAGCCTGTAACATATTCAGGATGAGCCTGAGGCAATCAGTTGGAATCAATTTCTCCTGAGTCAGTCAGGAAACAAGCAAGTTGGAGAAGGGGACAAGAGCCTGGACTTGGGGGTCTTTCTCTGAAATAACTCTTCATGGTGGGCAGGCCTGCCCTACTAAGATGGGATCTATCTCCCCTCTAAAACTAGCAACTGAACTACAGGGAATTTGAGATATTTGAAATTTTCTGCATTGACAAACAATAAGAAGAGGAAGGGAATCATGAAGACCCTCCCTGCAGGACCAGCCTGCTCCTAACAAATTCATAAGAACCCTTCGCCCACATGGGAACAACACAGCCTCACGCCTCTGACCCCCTGGGCTCAGCTTACACCCACCACAGAGATGCACCAAACTTGTAAAAAGTGAATAAATCACAGAGCTGCAGCAAAGCAATTCCTTTGCTCCAGGGGGAGCATGGGAGACTCATGTCGGAGAAAGAGGAAGGACTGATGCAAGTTGGACTTCAGCCTCGTACCTCACAGCTCCCCCAGGACTAATCCTGATGCTGGCATTACTTTCCCACCACACTGCAATAGTTGTGTCTTGCTGGCGTTTTGGAGCGAAGCCCTTCCTCTGCCCTGCCTTCCTCCTCTGTGCTGCTGTTTGGCCACGTTCAGGCACACACGGAGCCAGGCTGGTTTGACATGGGGCAGACGGGGCTCTCTCTCCAAGGCTGGAGCCGCTCGCAGTGGCAGCTTTTGCTCCATATCCCCCCTACGTGCTCCGGGCACGGGCAGCTCCCATCCTGCTGCCGCACTCGCGAGTAACAGCCCAACAACAGGAAACGCTGTTTGCTTTGTTAACGAAACCACCTAATTAAGGCCATGTGGAGAGAAGGCAAGAGAAACAGTTTCGTTTCTCTTGCTAAATATTGACTGTTTACCCTCTGGGCACAGCAGCTCAGTGAATTTATTTCCCCTCTCACCTTACACGCAGCCCATCACACACCACGGAGCCTCCTCCAAGCTCGCTGCCATTGGAATTCCCTTAACGAAGGAGCACGAGGGACTAATCAGATTAGAAAATTCCAGTCTCCAGTCTCTGACCTCCCAGGAAGCAAGGTTTTGGCTTGTCTGTAGGGTGGCATCCCACCTCTCAGACCTTTGCAACTGCTCTGAGTCCAGAGAAAATAAACTCCATGGCTCAAATCCCAACTTTTCAGGATTATTCAGAGAACACAAAGAACTACTCTTTGCAGGGCTGAAGTGAGAGCTCAGTGCCTTTTCCATAAATTACCTTGATATTTTTAGCCCAGATTTGAAGGGACTAGCCACCTCCAGATGCTCCCTCTAGTGCTCAGAGCATCTCTGCATCCTGCACTGACCAGAACAGTCATCCCAGTGGAAGCAGCAGCAAAATCAGGTTACAGATGATTTCCCTTAGTGCTGTCTCCAGGTCCTAACACAGCACTGTGTTCAAGACCAGGTTGGATGGGGCTTGGAGTAACCTGTTCTAGTGGAAGGTGTCCCTGCCCATGGCAGGGGGTTGCAATGAGATAAACTTTAAGGTCCCTTCCAACCCAATCCATTCTGTGATTTTATGAAATGGTTTCATACAAGCCCTTGCACCTTGTTTAGTGTGTGTATTAAAAAGGGGAATATGTATAGCTAAAAGACATTATATGTACACACATATAAAAGGAATAAAAATTACACATATATATTTTTATATGTATATGAGGGGAAAATTTCCAGGAAAAATCACGTTTTGTTTGTTTGTTACTCATATCGTGAATTCTATTGTGAAATTATCCTAAGATGTAAATAAAAATGGAAATATTTAGCTGCGATAACATTAGACCAAAATGGCCTGCAAAGAATTATTCCTACTCCTCTGATACCTTCTGTAGTTAATCAAGACTATAAAAGTGGTGACCTGAATTAAGACAACACGTCAGTTAATGTAATTACAGGACAATTACACAGATTCATTACTTTTGTTCACCAAGGAGCCAGAAGCTGATCCATAGACAGCACAGGAGGTTCATGCTGGATGTCTGAGCACATCTCCAGGCCCTGCATTCTCCACGGATTCCACACCTTATTTGCAAGATAAAATGTAGTCACACACTGAAATTAATACTAAAATGTGTCTCTCCGGGGTGTCAGAGATAATGGAAAAGTTGTGGCTTTCCAGCTCAGAGCCAAAAGCCTTACTGAAGAAATTTAAGGAGGAAAAACAACGCCGAGTTTATTCCTTAAGGCATGGCATTGCCACTATTACTTTTATTTTTTAAATGCAGGGGAAGAAAAAGGTGAGGTTTTTTGTTTTAAATATAGGAAATTTGTACAGTATTTCCAATAGAAGTTCAGGATCATTTGCTCTCAGTGGTAAAAGATCTTCCCTAGGATAAAAAAAAATCACATAATTTATCAGTCTGAAGACTGTGATGTGTCAGCCAAGTACCAGAGGCACAACATAAAATACATAATGCAGTTTAGAAGTTACCTATGTTCATAGTAGGTTTACATTGGTCTGGAATTCTTCATTGACCACAGAAGCCAAGGAAGGGAAAAAAGTTAAAAAGCCTATTTTACACAAGTGGTAGGTTTGATTCTAAAAGTCTTCATAAATTTACAGAGGAAGAAACAGTCATGTCACTGGAATCCCCTCATCCCTGTTCCCCTGTGGGCTGGAGCTGTGTGTTTCCTGTGTCAATACCAAGTCTAGCACCATATCCTGTGGAATAGGAATGTTTGTCACATGGCACACACACAATCAAACTGCATACAAAGAGTTTTACCATAAAAATGAAGGTATTTATTCAAGAAGTACAAATTTGATGGTACCAGCCATCTTTGAAAGCCATTCCCATGAGGCAGAGAGGACACGAACCGAAGTCTCTTGCTCAGAGCATATGAAAGCAAGTGTCACACACGGCCAGCTAACGCAGTCCTTTCCATCATTGCTCAAATCCACCTCCACTTTTGAAACATTCCCTGGACTTCAGAGGCACAAGTAGGGTTTTTAATCCAAGACCAGTTAGTTATTTGAATGAAGCCATCAGCTCAAATTTATTTTGTTTTCAATTGCCTTAAATTGTCTCCAGCCTTTGACTGGATTCCAATTTCCTAAAGAAAAAAAAAGGACTTGGGAATGAGCAGGTGCAGAATTTCTGGAGCTCAAGATGAACTAAAGGTTTTAAGGCAGGAGTCAGGATTTTAAGTTCTCTATTTGCCCCATGGCTCTGATTGAATGGTCTTCCTCTGTAAAATATACAGTTCTACTGGATATATACCCAACACGTGGTCCTGCTCGGAGGGCAGGAATGCACTTTTTCATGGAAAGTCCAGCAGACACATTTGTTAAAAGTCTCAAAGTCCATGGTAAGAAGTCTGCTGGTTAAAACATCTCATCTTCCAGCTGCCTGACTTGTGTAGGCTCAGTGGCATGTATCTTCCTTTGGAAGGAGAGCTCCATCTCCTACGGACAAGAGCAACACACACACGGCTACGGAATATCTACGTGGATGAAATATGGAAGAGGAAAGTCATTTGTAGAGCAGAGCAATCAAAAACACTTCATGGAAAGGGAAGTCTTTAACCAGGCAGACTTGTATATACAGTCATTAACCAACAGAAGCGTTTGTAGCTGCAGATAGAACAGCAGGACATTCATCATCTTGGGGAGGAAACAGAAGTGCAGACGCTGAGAAGTTGAATCCAAGGCTTCCCAGTGAATTTGCAAGGCAGACCACCAACACCTAGTGGGTTTGAAGCACATTTTTCGCTGTTTTCCGAGGAAGTTGCAGAGCGTATGAAACTCATCCCCCACCCAAAGCACATTTTCTGAAACACCTTTCTGAAACACCTCTACGTCCCACTGCAGGAGAGCACAAGACGTCTCAGAGCTTCCAGCCACCATCCAGGAGGGAGTTGCTTACGGGGGAAGTGGTGAAGGGCAAAGGAAAAAAAAAGCCCCTTTTTCTAACAGAGACTACTTTCATTTCAAAGTAACAGGATTCGAGCAGCGCAGGGAAAAAGCCAAAAAAAAAATTTTTTTTCTTTTATGTAAACATTCTCTGCATAAGGTGCAGGGTCCTGGATGTATGTACAGTAACATAGAAAAGTTTGTAAAATATAGATCAAGAGTCAGAAACACTTGCGCTTCTGAAGCATCGTAGACATGGAAAAACGTTCAGCATTCACTTCGTCAACACCTACACAGCGAAAATGCTTTCAAAATTCCATGGGTAAAAGCATCCCACCATTGTAAAAAAGAGTATTTTTTTAAATACTTTTAAAGAAGATTTTACATTATTTACTAGCAATGGATATATATGCAGAAGCACATCACACTACAGTAATATTTTATCAATCGATCATCTGCTTCACCAAAGGTTATGCACAGTGCCATGGGTTGCCCTGTTGCTCCAATGAATCCTTCTTTCCTCTCCTCCCCAAAGCAACTTAGGGACTTTGTGTGGAAGGCAAAGAGGAGCTGGGTTTTGTTTGGTTGCTCCTGGGGTGAGGTTTTTTGTTGTTGTTACTCCTACTTTTACCATTGGGGTGTCTATTAACAAACAAAACATTACACTGCCAACACACACTATTTCATTTTCCAAAATATTTCCCAGCTCCAGAGAAGCAAAGGCTTTCAGAAAACTATATATTCCAGGCTGTATTTTCTGCAGAAGACACTAATAAACTATCATGCACAAAGAGCCAAGGCAGTCAATGACATTTTGGGAGCTGGATGCTCTAGAAGGAGCAGCTGACACTTGGTTGTAGAAGACCCTGAGCATCCTTCTGCAATGCACCAAGCAATGTACCTTCAACACCTGCAGCTCTTCTGGAGCTCCCTGGCCCTGTCAGACTATCCATGTTCATGCCTCTCTGCCCTTCAAGCTGTTTAGGAGTGTGGACTTTCATTAGGTCATTACTTCTGTGTCAGGCAGAAGCAACAATAAAGAGTATAAAAATCTGAATTATGTCAAACAGACCTGTCACTAACACTGTAAAAAAGGTTATCTACTGGCATCAGTTCACAGCCAGAGCTATTCAGGAATGGCACAAAGGGCTGATGGGTCTAGTGAATAAAAAAACCCCCAAACCTATTACTTCTCAGTTGCCTGTATTTGGCATTGGTGGTGTGCATTAAAAAACTTGTTGCATTGTTTCACTTATACCCGAGACACCTGAGGGTGTGGGGCAACCCACCAAGTTCCAAAACACAACCCAGGCCATGCTGCCAACATCCTCCT